AAGCTGGGTTCAAACCCCTCATTTTCCTTGTAAAAAAAAAAAAAAAAAAAAAAAAAAAAAAACATAACATAGGTTAGTGTGTAACAGATAATGGATTAGATGATTACTGGTTACTTTTTAGATTGCAGTCCCTTCAGATAATTCAGATAATCAAATCAAATCAAATTTTATTTGTATAGCGCCAAATCACAACAAAAGTCATCTCAGGACACTTTACAAAGTAAGGTCTAGACCTTACTGTTATCAATATTATTACATAGGGAAAACCCAACAAATCCCCCTTGAGCAAGCACTTGGCGACAGTGGGGAGGAAAAACTCCCTTTAACGGAAGAAACCTCCGACAGACCCCGGTTCTTGGTGGGCGGCCTTCTGCCTCGACCGGTTGGGGTGAGTGGATAGAGGAGAGACAAAAGAAGAAAAGCAAAATATAACTGAGTATCATCTGCATAGCAATGGAAATTTATGTTGTGCTTCCTGATAATATTGCCTAAAGGGAGCATTTATAAAGTGAAGAGTATTGGACCTAACACAGAGCCCTGTGGAACGCCGTGACTAACTTCAGTTTGTGGGGAACATTTGTCATTGACATGAACAAATTGAAATCTTTCTGATAAATAAGATTTGAACCAACTTAGTGCAGTTCCTTTAATCCCAATAACATGTTCAAGTCTCTGCAGTAAGATGCTGTGATCAATGGTGTCAAAAGCAGCACTGAGATCTAAGAGGACAAGTATGGAGACAAGTCCTTTGTCCGAGGCTAGGAGAAGATCATTGGTGACTTTCACATCCGTACTATCTGTACTATGATGGACTCTAAATCCTGACTGAAAATCCTCAAACAAATCATTCTTGTGCAAGTGGTCACATAACTGCTTTGCAACAGCTTTTTCAAGGATTTTGGAAATAAATGGGAGATTGGATATTGGTCTATAATTAGCTAGGACACCTGGGTCAAGAGTAGGCTTTTTGAGTAGAGGTTTAATTACTGCAACTTTAAAAGCCTGTGGAACATAACCTGTTAATAGAGAGAGGTTAATCAGATCTAGTATGGATGTGTTGATTAGGGGAAAGACGTCTTTGAGCAGCCTGGTCAGGATGGGGTCCAGGAGACATGTTGATGATTTAGATGAAGCAATTGTTGAGGTCAACTCAGAGAGATCTATAGGGGAGAAGTAGTCCAAGTATAAATGAGGTCTTACAGATGTTTCTAAAACCATTGTAGTAGATGGCACATCTGCGAGAGCTGTGGGAGTGGTCCGACCAATTTTTTCTCTAATAGTTGTGATTTTATTTGTAAAGAAGCTCATGAAGTCATTGCTGCTGAGATCTAAGGGAATGTTAAGCTCAACAGCACTGTGGCTCTTTGTCAGCCTGGCTACAGTGCTGAAAAGAAACCTGGGGTTGTTCTTATTCTCCTCAATCAGTGATGAATAAAATGCGGTTCTGGCACTATGAAGGGCTTTCTTATATGTTATTAAACTATCTTTCCAGACTATGAAAAACTCTTCTGACTTAGTGGAGCGCCACCTCCTTTCCAGTTTTCGTGATGCCTGCTTGAGGGAGCGGAGCTGCGAGCTGTACCACGGCGCTAACCTCCTCTGTTTCACTACCTTCTTTTTCAGAGGGGCAATGGTATCAAATGTATTA